CTGTTGGACTTGCGGAGAAGAAGGCCATATTCAAAAATATTGCCGAAATTTCAAGACCAGAAATTTTGAACGAAGAACCGCTTCTCCAGGAAGACAGCAGGAAAACTCCAAAATAGTCAGCTTTGAGGGGCGAAAGCTGGCTAGTGCTACCAAGCCCCACCATCGACTGTCAAGGTTACGATTTCTCGGCTGAAGAACACTGGATCCAGCTTGGTAGTACCAGGGACAATATGTGGCCGAGAAACTGAGATGATTTTGGATACTGACTCAACTCACACCATCGTAAGACCTGATACTAACCGGTACTTTTTAATTGCCGTCATCGGAGTGAAAGACGAAGTACTGGAATGAACTATGTTTTGGAATCAGCAAATGGAGAAAATATACCCATCAAAGGTCCGCATTTGGCACCTTTTACCTTAGGCAGTATTACCTTTACCCACCTGGTTCTTGTTGCGGATATTATGGATAATGTTATACTTGGCTTAAACCTGATGGAAAATCAACGTTTTATCTTGGACATACCTCAGAGAGTATTGAGATGTGGAAATGAAGAAATTGTTCTTTCGAGCCCAACGGCATATGCCCAAGGAGCTAGAAAAATTGAACTTTTTGAAGATTACAAAATTCCAGGAAAAACTGAACTGATTGCCTTGGCTACTTGTAAAGACGAGTTTGACGAGAATGTCGTAATAATGGAAGGAGATCCTGAATACCAAAATTATGCCGAAAAGGTATTGTGCTCGCAAGAACTTTATCGAAAACTAGAAATCACGTTGCGCTTGTACGTTTGATGAATGTAACCAAGCATAGCCAACTATTGAAGAAAGGAGAGACACTTGGTATCTGGGAACCGACATGCACGATTGTTGCCTGTAAAGATTTACATTACAAAAGGGTTGTTCCCAAGAACCTCCCTCAAGCGTTGAAGGATTTGGCGGACAAGTCTTCGAAAAACCTAACCGAAGTTCAGACGCACCAAATGGTCAACCTTCTGGAAAGAAGTTTAGACGTGTTTTCACTCTCTGAAGACGACTTCGGCAAGACAGATGTAGTTCAGCATCGAATAAATACAGGCGATGTTGCTCCAATTAAACTGCCTCCTCGACGAGTTCCGCTTGCCAAGCAGGAAGAATTAGCTTCTATGTTAGCAGACATGGAGAAGCACGAAATAATTGAACCATCACAAAGTCCATGGACGTCACCCG